ATAGTTGCTAACTTATCTTTTAGTTGAAATTATCTTTTCACATTAACTGGAAAATAAGCATATTTTCAGACAAACAAAATTAAAGGAACTTGTGACATAAGATCTTTACTAAAAGTAATTAAAGAGATACCTTCAGGCTGATCCAAAGGTAGTAAGTTATCTCAACTGATCGTTCACAGTTAGATGAAATTGAACTTTTTCTCAGGTGTCTTTCTCACTACGGCACCTGACAAGTCTTAAAAAAAATCTTCAGTTGAACTTGATACACTGATGTTATTTTTCAGAGAATTAAAAATAATAAAGTCTTGACTGGCCAGTGAAAAAAAAAATCTTAGGGTGGCCCCTGTAACCCCTGGAGTAGGACACTGGCCCCATATATCAGAGGTGGTGGGTTCAAACCCGGTCTCGGCCAAAAATTGCAACAACAACAACAACAAAAATCTTTAGCTAGAGGGAAAATGTTCTCAAATACAAGCAAAAAAAAAAAAAAAAAAAAAAAGCATGCTGGAATAAAGAATAAAAGAGCAATAAATTAGTAAATATTAACGAGTATTAATTGTACAATAACCATATGTCATCTGAGATTTAAATTATATATATATACATATACATATGTAATATAAAAATGGGAAAAAGGTAATAGCATAAACTATAACTTGTATTAGGCTGTTATAAGTCAAGGTTGTATGTTGTATATCTAGAAGTGCTACATGAATATTTTAATGATATATGATTACAAGATAATAGAAGGGATAAATGGAATAATTGTTTTAAAGTTTGGTTAATCCTATAGAAGGAAAGAGAAATAGAAAAATAAAAATATAAAATAGATGACCCTAATAGAAAAATGAATAGCAACAATGTATTTAATATGTTTGTAAACTCAACTACGTCAGTAATTACATTAATTGTAACTAATCTAAATAAAAAGAGTACAGGCTTATGGCTGTCAAATTGGAATAAACAACAACTATATTGTGCTAACAAGAATCACACTTAAATATAAAGTCAGAGAAAAGTAGATAATAAAAAAATACCCAAAAAATGCCATGTGTGATGGTTGATTTTAGGTAACTTACCATTGATCTTAATTACAGGGCATGGTAACATTAAGAGACACCCTAAGGGATTTCTGGGTATCCTCTTCCCTACCTTCATGGTTGAAAAATAATCTGATTTCCCTTGGGTAATCTGTATCAATTACTTCAGCCAACATGGTAACTACCTTCTTACCATGCTGATTCAGAGGCACAAGCAGCCCAGTGTGGCCAGGTGGAAGTCTAACTTCTAGTCTAATGAAATCAATGTTGTGTCTCCTGGTGGCAGAATTCCTCCCTCTGCACAAAGACCTCTAGGCCAGCAGAGCACAAAGCACGAAATAGGACTTTAAAGATGCAAGTGTGCTGATTCCCACCATGTCACCAATCACTCCCCTTTTAGGCCTGTATTGTTGGATGTTGGATGGATTGTTTAAAGCTTAACCAAGTAGCAAATCCAATTGCAGTTGCTATGAAAGTTGAGGTTCCATTGTTTGAGCAAATTAACACATCTCCTAGTAAGTGGCTATTGATCTGGTAAATGCCATTTTCTCCATATCTGCCCACAATAAGACTCATCAGAAGCAGTTTGCTTTCAGCTGTCAAGGTTTAGAAATACACCTTCACTATCCTACCTCAGGGATATATCAACTAATGAGCTCTATGTCATAATTTAGTTTGCAGAGATCTCCATCACCTTTCCCTTCCACAAGATATCATGTTGGTTTATTACATTGATGACATTATGCTCATTGGACCTAGTGAGCATGAACTAGCAACTATTTTGGATTTACTGTGTGTCATAGGGTAGGAAATAAATTCTACTAAAATTCAGGGAATTTTTAATTTAGTGAAATTCCTAAGAGTCCAGTGGTATGGAGCATGCCAAGATATCACCTCAAAGGTGAAGAATAAGTTGTTACACTTGGCCCCACATATAACCAAGAACAAGGCACAAGAGCTTAGAGGATATATTTGGATTTGGGAGGCAACACTTTTCTCATTTAGATAGTTACTCTGGCTCATCTAAAGAGTGACTCAAAAGGCTGCTAGCTTTGTGTGGCATCCAGAACAGAAGGCTCTGTCACAGGCCCAGGATGTGTCTGTGCAAGATGCTCTGCCACTTGGGTCATGATCCAGCTGATCTAATGATACTTAAGGTGATGATGGCAGATAGAATGCCGTTTGGAGCCTTTGAGAACATCCCTATACATAAGATGCAGTGGAGACTCTTAGCCAATTTGGAGCATGGTCCTGTGATCATTCACAAACAACTACTCTACTTTTGAGAGACAACTTTTGGTTTGCTAATGGTCTTTAGTGGAAACTGAACACTCAACTGTGGACCATCAGCTCAGCTACCTATCATGAATTGGGTGTAATTTAATGCACCAAGCCACAAAGTTGTGCAAAAAAGTGCTTTGAAGGGTGGACTAGGCACTGACATCTGTGCATAGCTTCCTAAGGGGAGTACCTCAAAGGTGACCATTCCCATTCAGCAGTGAGGTATGTGTCTCTTTTTCTAGGATGAGTTGGCAAAATTAACTATCAGCCCTTGTGTGACAATTGCTCTGATGGCCATTCCAGGAAAAGAGTTCCAAAATTGCTTTGAAGGATGACAAAAGAGGAAAAGGCTAGGGCCTGCTTTACAGATGGCTCTTTTTTTTTTTTTTTTTTTTTCAGTTTTTGCCAGGGCCAGGTTCAAACCCACCACCTCCGGTATATGGGGCCAGCACCCTACTCCTCAAGCCACAGGCACCACCCCAGATAGTTCTTCACAATATGCAAGCACCACCTGAAAGTGGATAGCGGTAGCACTACAGCCTCTTTTGGGGACATCCCTGAAAGACAGTGGTGAAGGGAAATCTCAGTGGGCAGAACTTCAGGCAGTGTACCCAGTTGTGCACTTTCCTTGGAGGAGAAATGGTCAGACATTAAACTATATGTCAATTCACAGGCTGTAGCCAATGGTTTGGCTGGATGGTCAGGGACTTAGGAGGAATGTGACTGGAAAGGTGATGGCAAAGAAATCTGATGGTAAGGTATATGGTAAAACCTCCCTGAATAGGCAAAAGATGTGAATATATTTATGTCTGATGTGAATGCTCAAAAGATAGGGAAGAGCATTGACATCAGACAACTGCTGAGGTCACAGTTGGACAGGGTAACCCATCCTATGAATATTTTTTCAGCCACCCCGTCACTGCCCAATGAGGTCATGAACAAAGTATGGCCATGAGAGAAGAAATGGAGGTTAGGTTTGGGCTGAGAAACAGGGACTTATATTCACTAAGGCCAACCTGCCTGTGGCCATCTTAAGTGCTCAGTCTACCAGCAGCAGAGACAAAGGCTGAGACTCTGATGTGACATCACTCCCTAGAGTCATCAGCTGGCTACCTGTTGGAAGGTTGATTATGCTAGACTGCTTCAATCTTGAAAAGGGCAACATTTTCTTCTTACTGAAATAGATACTTATCCTGCATATGAAATTTTCTTCCCCGCACACAATACTTTTGTCAAAACTACTGCCTGTAGACTTGTAGAACGCCTTATCGATCCTCATGGTATTTAACGTAGCATTGCTTCTGATCAAGTAGTAACTCACTTCACAGCCAAAGGTGTGCAGAAATGGACTCATGCGGATGGAATTCACTGTTCTTACCAGGCTTCATGCATCTCAGCATCCTGAGGCAGCTGGCTTGCTTCAGGATGCAGGAAAGCATGGTGGGATAGCATTTGACGTTGCAAATATAGCACCTGCCAGGTGACAATACTTTGCAGGGCTAAGGAAAGACTCTCCAGAAGGCTGCATATGCCCTAAATCAGCATCTGACATATGGTGCTCTTTCTTCCATACCCAGGATTCCTGGGTCTGGGAATCAAAAGGTAGAAATGATATTGGCACCATTCACTATTACCTCTAGTGATCCACTTGCAAAATATGTCTATTTGCTTCTTGTTCCATGACTTTATGTTCTTCTGGCCTAAAGATCTTAGTTCCAGAGGGAGGAATTTTGCCACCAGGAGACAAAACAATGATTCTTTTGAACTGGAAGTTAGACTGCCACCTGGCCACATTGGGCTCCTTGTGCCTCTTGGTCAACTGACCGGAGAAGGAAATAACAATGTTGGCAGGGCTGTGTGATACAGACTACCCAGGGAAAAGTGGCATGTTACTCCACAATGGAGGTAAGGAAGAGTATTCCTGGAATACAGGAGATCTCTTAGGGTGTCTCTTAGTAGTGTCATGCCCTGTGATTAATGTCAATGTGAAATTACAATCTCCCAAGCCAGGCAGGACTATGAATGGCGCAAACCTCCTCCACCTCCAAGAATGAAGATTTTGGTCCCGCACACCAGCTAAAGAACCACAACCAGGTACTTGTCGAAGGCAAAGGGAATACAAAACAGCTAGTAGAAGAAGGGAGTTATAAATATCAGTTAAGACCACATGACCAGTTACAGAAAAAAGGACTGTAATTATTAGGAGTATTTCCTTTCTATTTTGTTAAGAATACGTTTATGTGTTTGTGTACATATATTAAGCAAACATCTGTTCTCATTTCTCTCTTATCATGTAACGTAAGATATATTGACTTTGTATCAGTATTTTAGAATTGTTAATTTTATGTCATAGTTATGAAATTTCAGGAGAAAAGCAAATATCACCCAAGGACTTTACCTCCTTTTCTGGGAAAGGGATTAGTGTTCTTTTGACTGTGTACAGGATGTTGTATCGTGTTAGGTAGAACTGTTATCTTGCTATTGTCTTTATCTGGAAAATAAGTATAGTTCAAAGGAATTCGTATCAATGCCAAGTTGACAAATGGGGTATTTATGATGGTTTATTTTAGGTATCAACTTGACCGGCTTAAGAAACACCTAAAGACTGAGTGATTCCCAGAGCCTAGCAAAGGGACCAAGTTTCCAGAGCCCTGAAGACAAGGGGTAACACACCAAAATATGGACTCATTTTCCACTCCACCTTCATTGGCCAAGCAACTGCTAAGATCAAAGGCCAAATCTCCCGATACCTGGCAAACAAATGCAGTATTGCCTCATGAATCAATTGCTTTTCTGAGGTGCCCACGAGCATAGTTGGGGAGAAGCTTTGGGAAGCGGCTGTTCTTCTATGAGACTGGAGACATTCCATGCAAGAATCTGGATGTCACGAAGGAAGCAATGGTTCAGGCAAAGGAAGCGGCTGCTGAGATCACTAGGAAACTGGAGAAACAGGAGAAGAAATGCTTGAAGAAGGAAAAGAAACAACTGGCTGCACTTGCCTTCCCTTCTTCAGAAAACAGCAGTAGCACTCAGGAGGAGAGCGAGGATACAGTGGAAAACCCCCAAAAGGAGCAAAAGCAAAAGCCCCAGGAGGTTCCTCAGGGGAATGGAATGGAAGACCACCTGTCTATCCCTGTCTCCAAACTCAAGAAAAAGAAATCTTTTTCCAAGGAGGAGTTGGTTAGTAGTGATCTTGAGGAGGCCACTGGCATTGTAAGTCCTCCCAAGAAGAAGAAAACTTCACCCGAGGAGGAAACAGGAGTTAGTGATGCTGAGGAGGCAGGCAACAAGAGCGTGTCTAAAAAAAAGAGGAAATTCTGCTCTAAGGAGGAGGCGGTCAGCAGTGGGCCCAAAGAGGCTGCAGGCATCAAGAACAGCTCCAAGAGGAAGAAAAAGTTCCCCAAAGCTCCCCAGGAAGATTAGAATGGACAATCCCTGTGAGGGAGGGGTATCCCATACCCCACAGAGACATTTCCTACCCTGTGTCCCTCAATAAAAACAAATTCATACACACAAAAAGAAACACCTAGAAAACTAGTAAACCATTACTTCTGGGTGTCTGCAAGGTATTTCCATGGAAATTGGTGTGTGAGTCACAGAGCTGAGTAGGAAAGATCTGCCATCAATATGGTGGTGGTGGGGGGACATCCTACAGTTGTCTGGGGGCCCAGACAGAACAATAAAGGAGAAGAAAGGATTTTATTTCTCTTTTTCCTGGAGCTAGGACGTTCTCCTCCACCTGCTCGTCGATACCAGAAACCCAAGCATTCAGGCCTTAGGACTCTAGGACTTACACCAGGGACCCTCCAAGTTTATAGTCCTTCAGCCTCAGACTGGAAATTACACCATCAGTGTGCTGGAGTCTGAGGCTTTGGATTTGGGACAGAGCCACACTACACACTACTGGGATGTCGAGGGTCTCCAGCTTGCAGATGGCCTATTGTGGGACTTCTGAGCCTTTTTAATCATGTCAACCAATTCCTCTAATAAATCCCCTTTCATATATCTATAGATAAGTCAAATATACAAATCTCATTGGTTCTGTCCTTTGAAGAACCTTAACAAAATCAGCTGTTTCGTGTTTGCATGGTGTATTTGTATGGTGACTAGAACACCATGCAAACACCACATGGCTCAAAGATGGTGTCCTTGTATAGACATTCCCTGACTTAGAATGATCTGACTTATAACTTTTTGACCTTACAATGTTACAAAAGCAATATGAGTTCAACGGAAAATGTCTTTGAATTTTCATCCTTTCCTGGGTTAGTAATATGCAGAAAGATACATTTGCAGGTCTTGACAGTGGTGGCAAGCTGCAGTTCCCAGTCAGCCAAACAATCATGAGGGTAAACAACCAATACTTATAGCATACTGTGTTGTTAGACAATTTTGTACAATTGTAGGCTAATGTACCATGTTTCCCTGAAAATAAGACACTGTCTTATATTTATTTTTTCTCAAGAAGACACACTAGGGCTTATTTTCAGGGGATGTCTTATTTTTATTAAGTATAATACAACAATCTACATTTATTCAAATACAGTTAAGTCATCTTCTTCTGGAACCTGACAGGGGGAGCCAACCTTGTTGGTGGGGCTGGTACTAATGATGCATGAATTCCTTTCCCCTAGCCATTTGCATGTGCACAATAGGATGCAGTTACCACATGTGCACCCACGCAAGTTAGAATAGCTTGGAGAAAGGAGCTGAGGCAGATAAAAGTATTCAAGGTATTCCAGTCTTCCTTACCACTGACACTGGAATGCATGGTGTGGCTATCCAGATACACTGCATAGCCACGCCCATCACTAGGTCTTATTATCGGGGTAGGGCTTATAGTTAACAAATGCATAGAAATCCTGCTAGGGCTCATTTTGGGGATAGGTCTCATTTTGGGGGAAACACAGTAAGTGTTCTAAGCACTTTTAAGGCAGGCTAGGCTAAGCTATGATGTTTGGTAGGTTAGATGTGTTAAATGCATTTTCAACTTTCAATATTTTCAAATGATTATAGGTTTATTAGTTCATAACCACATCATAAATTGAGGAGTATCTGCACTGAAATCAGACAACATATATTCTCTGTAAAAGGATATACCATAAAGAAGGAGATCTCATAATCATAAAAAGGCTAATCCAGTAGCAAGATGTCACATCTCAAATTTGTATAAACTCCATAACAGAGCTTCAAATATTGCTAGAGTTTCAACGTTTATGCCCCCATCAATTCATTTATGGAAATCTAATTACAGATGCAATAGTATTAGGTGGTGAGCCTTAGGTAGGTGACTAGATCATCAGAGCAGATTCCTCATTAACAAGATTAGTGCTCTTTTAAAAGAGGCCCCAGAGAACTGCTTGTCCCTTCCACCACATGAAGACAGAGCAAGATGATGTCATTTAGGAGGAATCAGGGCTTCATCATACACCAGGTCTGAGGGTGTCTTGATCTTGGACTTCCCAACCTCTGGAACAATTTAAATATCTGTTGTTTGAAAGTTACCCAGTTGATGATATTTCATAATAGCAGCCCAAACTAAGATAAATAATAAAAAATAAACAGAATTAAAAGAAGCAATGAATAAATCCACATTCACAATGAAAATTTTCAGCACACTTCAAAAAATAGTCTAGCAAAAAATCTGTAAAAACAACTTAATTGACAGACTTGACTTAATCAATTTATATAGAATACTGCATCAAACAATGATGGAATTTGTCTTCTTTTCAAGTACAAATGGATCTTTTACCAAATCACAAAGAGAGACTCACAAATTTGGAAAAAAGTAGAATCAATCATTGACAGCATGGTTTCTTTCTTTCTAGAATATCATAAAGGAAGAAAAATAACAAAATTATTACTAGAATAATGCTAACTGCTTGACAATTAAACAATAAAATTTCAAACAAAACAATAAAGAAAGAAAGAAAAATGAAAATTAGAAAACTTTTGACTAAATCGTAAGGAACACACAACGTAACAAAGCTTTTACTGAGCATGCATAAAAGGAAATATATTGTTTTAAATGCATGTAGTGAAAAAGAAAAAAAACTAAAAATAATCATTTAAGTCTCAGTCTCAAGAAGCTAAAAAATAACAAGCAAATTAAGTTTAAAGGAAGTAGAGGAAAGGAAAATAAGGGTAAAAGAAATCAGTGAAAGGCAAAATAGACATGTAATTAATCATACCAGAATAGCAACAATTGAGTATTTGTAAAGATTAATAAAACGTAGAAGCCCATCTCAAGACTTCTCAGGCAAAAGAAGAGACGGCACAAATTAATAATAAAAAAAAAAGACAGAACAGTAATGCAGATCCTACAGACATAAGAAAGATAATAAAATAATATTATAAACATTTTAATATTAGTTAATTTGACAATTCAAGTTTGACAAAGATAAATTCCTAGAAAAATACTATTTATTTGAACTGTGAGAAGTAGAAAATCTGAATAGGTCAATATCTATTAAACATATTTAGTTCGTTATTTAAAAATCTCCCCCACAGAAAAGTCTAGGCTTACATGGCTTTACTGGTACATTATTATACAAATTTAAGGGAGAAATAGCACCAATCTTGGATAAATTCTTCCCAAAACAAAAGAGAGAACTGTTTTCCTCATGCCCCCTTTATGAGACTAGTATAACTATAATTCCAAACCTGATAAATACATTGTAAGAAAGAAAATTATAGACCCATCAATTAATTGAATTAATTGAATCTAATGCTAAAGAAATTGAATTTATTCTAGAAATGCAAGATTGGTTCAACATTTAGAAATTAACACAACCACATTAACATAAAAAGGGGAATGGTTACATGAACATCTTCACAGAAGCTGAGAAATAATTTGATAAAATTTCTCCTAGCCCTGTCTATTGTATATTTTCAAAACTTGTGGCAAACCAAAAAAAAAAACACAACTTCTTAAACAAGTAAAGAATATTACAAAAACTCAATAGAAAACAATATATCCAATGTTGAAATACTGAAAAATTTCCTTCTAAGATTGCAAAAGAGATAGAAAGCCAGCTATTAATACATATATTCAGCATTTTATTGAAGGTCCTAGCCATTGCAGTATTTTTTTAAAAAAAGATATGAAAGAAAGAAATAAAACTGTCATTATTTATAGATATCATGAATACATGTCAAGAAAAATCCAAAAGAATCTACAAATTATATTTTCACTCATAATTGAATCTACAATGTTGAATACAGGGCCATTATTTTAAAATCAGCTCTATACGTAATCTGCAAACAAACAGAAAATTACATTTTTCAATACGCTATTTAAAATAACATCAAACTACACAAAGAGTCAAGGTGAGAAAAGATTTTGTTTTATCGTTCCTTTAGCCAGCCAAATAGGTGCTTTTTTGATACCACTACTCATATATCACAATGCTAAATTAAAGTCAGAAAACTCCAAGAGTTGGAGAGATTGGGCAGTATTTGGAATTTTTATGAATTGCTGGTAGGTTTGTAAATTGGTATAAAAGTTTTAAATACTATTAGGTAATGTCTAGTAAAGTTAAATATACACGTGCTCTATGACCTAGCTATTTCACTCCTAGGTGTGTGTGTGGATATATATATATATATATATATATATCTCACAGAAATGTGCACACATGCTCACAAAAGACATATCTTAATATGGAAAATCAATGAGGATCATGCAAATTACAAAAGGCAAAGGCTATTTATTCAGAGCTTTCTCTGGCAAGGGAGTCAGCCACTGTCACTTGCATTTGGCAAAGACTCAAGGCAGGCAGAGGAGTGGGAAAGCTTATGGTTAGAAAAAAGACAAGGATTCAAGTAAGCCTCAAGTGGAGGTTGCTGGCACAAGGCAGCTGCAGGTGGACTAAGCAGAAGTGAACTGTCCTATCTGACTGGTTAGAAGAGTATATTTGGCTGATCCTAAGGTAGAAGTAGGGCCAAAAATTAAGAGAAACTGGCAGTAAAGATCAGGTATTGGTCATCTGGGGGCCATGCTTCCTGTGCTGATTGCTGCAGATTTTGAGGGTCTTTTTATCTATGTGATCTGGCCATTGTCCGTTTGTGGACTCAGTATCTCACTAGAATGTTCATATTGTCTTTTCCAACAACCCCCTAAATTGGAAATTACCCAAATGCTCACCATCAGTATGACGTATAAATAAATGGAACATATTCACCTGACAAAATATTATGCAGCAATGAGAATGAACAAACCACAACTACACTCAACAATATGGCAGTTGAGAGAAACTCACAAACACAATATTGACCAAAAGGCAGACACAATAGGATTGCACTTGTCTGAGACACAGAGGCAAGTCTAATCCATGCTGTTAGAAGTCAAGATGATGGGGGTGGCACCTGTGGCTCAAAGAGGTAGGGCGCCGGCCCCATATGCCGGAGGTGGCGGGTTCAGACCCAGCCCCGGCCAAAAACTACAAAAAAAAAAAACAAAACAAAAG